GCCCCCCCCCCCCCCCCAGTGGTTCCATCCCACCGTCGCCATGGTGACCCACACAGGACAGAGAGAAGAGATATGTGTGTCAGGGAACCCCGTGTCCATGACGACAGTAAACAGGTCTGTCAGTGTGACTTACACACAGGTGAAACATTAGCTGGACGGAGAGAAAGAAGCCACACACACACACACACACACACACACACACACACACACACACACACACACACAGTCAGGACAGATGGCCGACTCGAAGCAAACATCTGAACCCGTCAACTTTGTGCATCAGGATGAAATCTGGTAAATCTACGGACTCACACTCTCTGCTGTTTGTGTTTATGTCAGACGTTATTACCTGGTATTGATCATGGGATTATTATCATTATCATTATCATTATCATTATCATTATCATTATCATTATTATTCATATGTTGACTGGATGTTTTAAAGTGATGAAACTCAGAAAAGGTCTGATTTCTTTCTTGTTTTAAAACAAAACGTTGCTGAATAATCCGTATGAGTCTTTCTGTGCAATCATTGTATAATTATTAATATTAATGTGACCGTCATCATCATCATCATCATCATCATCATTATTTTCCTTTCTTCCTCCCCTCTCTTGTTAAGTTTAGTTTGTTTAACAGTTGAACGTAGTTTCTATCTGCTGCTGATTCTCCCGTCTCTGCTTTTGGTTTTTACATGTTTAATGTCATTAAAACTGAAAACAACAAAAACAACGTAACTGATAATATTCTAAAATTATCTGCAAATATACAGACATTCCTCGTCTTCCCTCCTCCATCCTCATGTGAACACTTTGTATTTTCTCTCCAGTAGCTTCCTGCTATAAACAGCTACAGCTTTACAAACCGACTGGTCCTGATACATCAGGACAAGCGTCTTGTTTTAATGAGATTCAGTGAGTTGTAATGAGAAGCGTCTTGTTTTAATGAGATGTGTGGAAGGTGTGTTGTTCCTAATGAGACTTTAAAGATCAGATGAAACTTCTACAACAAGAAAAAGAAGATAAAAACAAATCCTTGATCTCTTCCTTCTCACTAATGAGGAAAAGTTTTCTTGTCTTGGCTGCAGCAGTCGGCTTCAGTTTACAGCTGTTGTTCATATTGACGCTGCGTTTTAGTGAAGATCAGAATTATTATGTGTGTGTGTGTGTGTGTGTGTGTGTGTGTGTGTGTGTGTGTGTGTGTGCATGTGTGTGCGTGTGTGTGTGTGTGTGTGTGTGTGTGTGTGTAGGAAGGCACATTTAAAAGTTGAGAAGGTTTCAGCTGAAGTCTGGCCCAAAAAGTGGGGCTTCCTGACTGAGGTCTACAAGGAGGTACACACACACACACACACACACACACAGATCTGAATTGTACATTAGTACTGCAGTACTAAAAACAGTGGTGCTGTTTCTTTTTTTTCTAAATGCTTTATATTTAAAACATTTTCCATTTGATCTTTTAACTGTGAAAAACTGTAAATAAAGTTTCTATCTACTGTAAAACTATGAAACACTGAAAATGGAGGAAACGATCATAACTAATGAAATGAGATACACAGTGAATGATATGGACAGTACATACAAATAAAATTAAATAACTGCAACATATAAATCAGGATTATGAAACAAAAATATTCCAAAAGCACAAAATAAAACTATATAAACAAAGATATTAAAGGAAAGTATTTAAGTGGTTTTATAGTTTTCCTGTTCTTCAGTAGATGTCATTAATTAAAACAGTAGAATTTATTCCATTTGTATTGGTGGAGAACAGTAACATGGTTGTTATTTCAGTACGAGAGGGAGAGTGTGAAGCTGAAGAGAGCGGCCGGGGTGGAGCTCCCCCATCACCTGGCCCCAACACCTGCAACCCCCCCACAGAAACACATCCAGGTATGATACCTGTCTGTCTGTCCGTCTATCTATCTATCTATCTATCTATCTTACTTTCACTGCCCTTGTTTTGTTCCTTCAGGTTGGCCCCTCCCCTCCAGTTCCTCAGACAACTCAGGCTCTGATTGGCTGGCGTTCAGCTCACTCACATCTTCAGCTGGAAAAGTACGGCACAGTGCATTATGGGAGGCGTAGTTTTATGAAGGAGCTGGGCTGGCCTCTTGGTGCCTGTAGCTGAGTGGAAGTCTCTGTCCACTCAGTGTTTATGTGGATTAAAATGATGCTGGAACAAACAGTGTGTGTCTCTGCTGTAATGTCACACACACACACACACACACACACACACACACACACACACACACACACACACACAGATCAGGGGTCACTTTACAGAGATGAAGAGGGTTTGGTAACACACAGATAAATTATGCAGTGGTAGTTATTAATGGAAGTTTGACGTTGTGTTGTTACAATAACAATAAAGTTGTAGGACAGTTCATTAAACACTTCCATTGGTCCGTTTCATATGAATAATAGTTATAGTCTTTAGTCAACATAAATTGTCAAAATGTTTTGCTTGTTTCAGCTTTTAGAGTTTTTGGATTCACCTTGTAAACTGAATATCTTTGTCTTTTAGACTGTTGCTCATGTCATATGAGATTAGAACAGGGATTATTTAGTATTTTCTGACATTAAAAGATTAACTGAAGAAAGGAGAAATAACTATTAGCTGCAGGACGAAAATAATGTGTGTAAACTATTGCTAAAAATATCATAATTTAAGAAGATATTAGAAAATGCTGTTTGCTCAATTGTGATTTTTTTACTATTCAAAACAATTTTCATTTCATCTTATTTAAAGTATTAAGGTGAAAAATTCAAGAATCAAAAATTCTCAAACAAGATAATAAATAAAATGAATGAAAATAATGAAAATAAAATTAAATAAAAAATATAACAAAATTATAAAAGTAAAAATAAAATAAAATAAACAAAATACAACACACAAATAAGGACGATGAAATAAAAATATTTCCAAAAGGACACAACAATATACATGTATATATATATAGGCTGGGTACCACGTGACAAACAACGAAGACATTAAAGAAAAAAAGAAAAATGAATATTAGTTTCTACTGTTTTTATTGTTTCATTCTTCTTCGGTTCATGTAATGAATCAGTGTCGTGTCGGAATTCTACTTTCAACTGTTGTATTGACTCACTTGTGAATTCCCCTTTTTTTGTCTCACGCATGAGTCACGTAGTGGCGCTGACGTAATGACATCACGAGGCCTGTCTGAAAAGGCGGAAGAAGAGACAAAACAACAACAGCAGCAGCAGCAGCAGTGGCGGCGGCGGCTGCTCTTCGGCTCGGCGACGATAGTTAACGAAAAGGAGAACAGAGCGATTAAACGATCATCTGTTCGGTATCACGAGGTGCCGGCGGTTTGTGTTCGGTTAATTCAGCCGTTATCGTTCACTAACTAAAATGTCGCTATTCGGTAAGTTATTCGGCGGCGGGGGTAAGGGTGGGAAGGCGCCGACACCCCAGGAGGCTATCCAGCGACTCAGAGAGACCGAGGAGATGTTGGCCAAAAAACAGGAGTTCCTCGAGAAGAAGATCGACCAGGAGCTGCTGACGGCCAAGAAGAACGGCACGAAAAACAAACGAGGTGAGGACACGGTCCCGAGCGGCGCCAGTTACCGAACCCGTCAAAGTGAAGAGAGTTAGTTGGTTAGCCCGCAGGCTATCACACAGGAACAGGGAAGTTTTCAGTTGACAGGCACCTGAACACAAGTGTGACTCCATTTTTAAATGTCTGTGTGAGGGCAGCGGTGTCACTACTGGAAATATAGAGACGCTAAAAACGATAAAGAGCGTTTTAAACGGGGTTTTAAAAGATCCAGTTTCCTCAAGAAGTTAATAAAAAGTCTTAAATTTAGACCACTACGGTCCTGGATGGTGTTTCCTGCTCCATGTCGACAGCTGTGTTCATTTTAACGGGTTTATTTATCTGATTTTAGCTGAAACTCGATGGAAAATCTCAGTAGTTTTGATTGAACAGAGACCGGAACTGTTAAAGGATTTTCAAAATAGTTGTCAATTAGTTTTCTGTTGATCAACTAATTGTGTCAGATCAAATTTTTACATACTGCTGGGAAATGTAAGTAGATTCACACTGAGATAATTATGATAATTTTATATATATATATTGAATATATTCAATCGTATACAGTGTTTAAAGGGTCTTAAAAAGTTAAAACACATGCTGACCTAAGCATCCAAACACAGAGACAATAAACCAAATGATATGTAACTAGAATGGGACATAATGTTCCTTTTTATAATGAGGTTTTCAAAATAATTGACACTAAATATAGTGAAACTAATGACACAGTGCTGTTTATCTCAGTTTGATTACTCTACAGCTACGTCACTCAGTGCTCCTGTTGTGTGGCAGCTAAAAATCATTTTCATTATCAGTTAATCTGCCAGTTATTTTTAATATTAATAAATTATATTTTTTGTTTATGAAACAATTGTAAATGCACAGACCAAAGTGACATCTTCAGACCAACAGTCAAAAAACCAAAGATATTCACTTTACTGTCATGTGACAAAGAAAAGCATGAAATCCACATATTATATTTTATAATGTATATTTAAGTATACGACAGATTTTCAGTTTCCTGTCACATAAGACAAAGAAAAGAAAATCCTGTCACCTGAGAAGCTGGAACCAGGAAGTGTTCATCACTTCTGTTCCACAAACGACTCAAATCATCAATTCATGATTAAAATAGTTGTTCTGTCTATTGACTTTTTCATGAATTGACTAATCACTGCAGCTCGTTACTGCAGCTCTACTTTAAACAACTCTCTCTGTCTCTCTCTCTCTCTCTCTGTCCCTCTCTCTCTCTCTATCTCTCTATCTCTACTCTCTCTGTCTGTCTCTCTATCTCTCTCTCTATCTCTACTCTCTCTCTTTCTCTATCTCTGTCTGTCTCTCTCTCTCTCACTTTCTGTTATGAAGTATTTTCATATACAATGACACATCTTTTTTACCTTGTACAGAGAGAGGTGACCTGTCGTTACTGACTGCTGTCACAGGAAAGTCTCAACCTGTAAAACTGATGTTTGGAGGATTCTCAGAATAACTTTACAAAGTTTTTAAAAAGTTTTCCTCTGTGCACATCAAGCCTCACATGAAGCATGTTGAAGTATGAACTGGTAATAATCTAACCAGTGAGTTATTTTATATATATTTTTTTATTTGCTCTGTGAAATATCAAAATGACGTCAGGTGAGTTTTTATAAGTGTCTTTATTGAGTTATTATTATACAGCCATTAACATTATTATGCAATATATTACACAATATACACACACACACACACACACACACACACACACACACACACACACACACACACACACACACTCCCCCTGAAGAAAAGAAACACATACATGTTCTCTTTACATTTACTCATTAATTAAAACGTTTTAACAATTAACTAAAGCTGCTCGTTAATGGCAAAAACCATATTCATAATTATTTTGATCAATATTGAGATCAGGATGATTTCACAGGATCACTCACTGACTTTGGAAACACCAGCATCAATTAAACTTAAAATAAATAAATAAATAAATAAACGGATTTCAAAACAAAAGCGTTGTGTTTATGTAGTTTTTAAAATAAAATAAGGAATAATATTGAAATATATACAATTAAATATATAATCTGAAAATAAAGAGATCGACTACAACACAGTTCTCTTTTACCATTTGTAAACAACCATCCGATCACCTGACCAGGTGGTTTTCTGTTTCTAATATTGTTCTTTAATTCTTCATCTGAAGGAAGCAAAACTGTGATTTTCCTTCCTCTGCGTCGGCTTGGGTGGAAAATTAATATGAAGAAATTATGTCAGAAACACAGAGATCAAACTGAGTGTGAACTGATCAGGACGACAGGAACAACACAGGGTCACAGTCAAAGGTATCCTGTGGGGGGGGGGGGGGGGGGGGGTAGTTGTGTGTGTGAGAGAGATGTTGGGTAATGATGTTATCAGTCCAGGAATAGAGCCAGAGCTGAAATAATCAGATGAAACTGGAACTGTCAGAGGTGTGTGTGTGTGTGTGTGTGTGTGTGTGTGTGTGTGTGTGTGTGTGTGTGTACAAACACTGACCTTGTTGGGACCAGTAGTTGCCACGGAGACCAGGGTCTGAATCTAAATCTAAATCTGTGGCACAAAGTGAATAAACGTAAACAGGAAGTGCTGTGGGGGAGTGAATGGCGGTCTGATCCCTTCTGTGTGTCAGAGCACGTGATCCCAGTTACACCTGCAGACAGTGACCTGCTGCTGCTCCAGGGGGCGACAGAGAGCAGGAAGTGACAGTCTGATCGGTAGAGGACTGAAGGACGTGTGACTCCAGATGACCCTGTTCTCCTAACACATATAAACATACACACCTGTGTACACAGACACCGAGACAAACATGTTTGATCAGTAAAAGGCTTTGAGGAGTGTCAGCTCAGTAGACCTGCTGCTACGGTTTAATGTCACACCTCTAATTAAATCATCATCAAGTATAATCAATCACCTGTTCTTGATTTGAAGTTGAGTAATTATTCAGACAGCTCCTCGTCATGTGAAGGAGAGAGAAGTCGGAGCTAACGTGTCGTTAGCCTGAAGAGCTAACGGTCAGTCACAGATGAACCTCAGTCTAACGTCTGAGGTCATTAAAGGTTTTAAATGTCAGTGTCGGTCGTGGTCACGGTCAAACATCTGAGAGCGTCACGTTCACAACACCTTTAGTTTCCTGCTGAAGTCCCACACTAAAGCCCTCCCCCCCTCTCCCCCCTCTCTCCAGCGGCTCTTCAGGCCCTGAAGAGGAAGAAGCGTTATGAGAAGCAGCTGGCGCAGATCGACGGGACGTTGTCGACCATCGAGTTCCAGAGGGAGGCGCTGGAGAACGCCAACACCAACACAGAAGTGCTGAAGAACATGGGCTACGCCGCCAAGGCCATGAAGGCGGCGCACGAGAACATGTGAGACACTGATGTTGCTGATGTTGTCACAGCTGTCTCTGTCAGCTGTTCTTGTCCTTCCTGTCACCTCTGGTTACCTGGTTTATTCTGAGATACCTGTGTTCACCTATCGTCCCTCTGTCTCTCTCTCTGCGTCCTCTCGTCTCACAGGGACATTGACAAAGTCGACGATTTGATGGCGGACATCACAGAACAGCAGGAAGTGGCTCAGGAAATCTCAGATGTCATCTCCAGACCTGTGGGCTTTGGAGAAGAATACGATGAGGTGAGAAGGCACCTGAGGGGGCGGAGCTACAGCCACCGCTGATTTTTACACAGACACATTAATGAGGAAGATTCTGACATCCTCGCGTGTGTGTGTGTGTGCGCGCGCGCGTGTGTGTGTGTGTGCGCGCATGTGGGTGCGCGCGCGCGTGTGTGTGTGTGTGCGCGCATGTGGGTGCGCGCGCGCGTGTGTGTGTGTGTGCGCGCATGTGGGTGCGCGCGCGCGTGTGTGTGTGCGCGCGCGCGTGTGTGTGTGCGCGCGCGCGTGTGCGTGTGCGCGTGTGCGCGCATGTGTGTGTGTGTGCGTGTGCGTGTGTGCGCATGTGTGTGCGTGTGCACGTGCGTGTGCGTGCGTGCGTGCGTGCGTGCGTGCGTGCGTGCGTGCGTGCGTGCGTGCGTGCGTGCGTGCGTGCGTGCGTGCGTGCGTGCGTGCGTGCGTGCGTGTGTGTGTGCGCGCATGTGTGTGCGTGTGCACGTGTGTGTGTGCGCGCGCGTGTGTGTGTGTGTGCGTGCGTGTGCGCGCATGTGTGTGTGTGTGCACGTGCGTGTGTGCGCATGTGTGTGCGTGTGCACGTGCGTGTGTGTGCGTGCGTGTGTGCGCGTGTGTGTGCACGTGTGTGTGTGCGTGCGTGTGCGCGTGTGTGTGTGCGTGTGTGTGTGTCTGTGCGCGTGTGTGTGCACGTGTGTTTGTGCGTGTGTGTTTGTGCGTGTGTGTGTGTGCGTGTGTGTGTGTGTGCAGGATGAGCTGATGGCAGAGCTGGAGGAGCTGGAGCAGGAGGAACTTGACAAGAATCTCCTGGAGATTGAAGGAACAGAAGACGTCCCTCTGCCCAGCGTCCCGTCGACATCACTACCCTCCAGACCAGGTACACGCTCTGACTCACCTCAGTACACATCCCTGAGCTCTGCTGAGTGACACGTCATCATGTGTCTGTGTTTGTTTTCAGCCAAGAAGAAGGAGGAGGAGGACGAAGACGACATGGCAGACCTCGAGGCCTGGGCAGCTAACTAAGCTAGCTCGCCCTGCTAGCTAGCTGGAGCCCCCCTCCTGTCTGTCTCTCTGCTCCCAGACCGGTCGCAGACATCTGGAGGAGAGACAGAGACTCTGGGCTGCTGAGCTGGCTGCCTCATGTCCCAACACCCACCTGTCCCCGCCCTAAAGTATGCACCTGTGCCCACGTCTGCTGACTCTAAACCACACGACCAGGCTTCTCTCTTCTCATTCACGGTACAGTGAGAATCTCTTCACTCCGGCTGCACACTCCTCTGTTTCTGAAGGCCGTCGAGAGCAGAGAGCAAACGCCACGCCCTCATCTACCTGTGGTTCGGTTCATCAAAGCACGAGTGCATGAACAGGAGCGTGCACGTGCATACTTTAAAGGGATGGTTGTGGTTATTAGACGTGGGGTGGTGTGAGGTGTCGGTGTGTTACCTGCAGCAGATTCAGATCAGCTGCCAGTCAGGAGAGAAACACCTGCTTCAGAAAACATCCACACAAACAATCCAACATCTGTTTAAATGTAGATGAATGAAGTTCAGCTCTTTCTGATTCACTCAGCTGACCTGCAGCTGCGGCGTGATACGGTGCACGCTGTAGGTGCGCTTGTGCGAAGTACGGAAGAGGATTAGGGCCAAAATTTCTCTCAGACTTTGAGTTTAATCTAAAAAACATCAAAATTTTGAGTTTATTCTCAGAAAAAAGTTTTCTGCACACGTCCCTAATCGTCCTCCGTAGCGCAGGATCACGGTAGTTCAGCGGGTGAGAAAAATGTAGCACCAAAGGGAAGTGTTGTTTTCACAGGAAGATAAAGATGAAAATCTTCTACATTTAAACAGATGTTGGATTGTTTCAGTGGCCGTCTTTTAAAAGTGTCTAAACAGGTGTTTTCTGCTGGCCCCGCCCACAACAGCTGATAGTGTACCGGTCCTCCTGCTGCTCTAAACTGAATCTGCTGCAGGAAACACACTGACTGTGCATGAACACCTCACACAACCCCACGTCTGATAACCTGGACTGTCCCTTTAAGGGGGGGGGGCAGGGCGGGGTTTGTTACTGGGAGGAATGTGAAGAATCAACTGACGTGTGGGAAAGAAAAGCAACAACAGACAGACGAGTGGTTTGTCTGCTTCCTGCAGTGTCATTGTCTCTGACAAACACAGCCGTTAGAAAGTAGGATTTTCTCACTGAGACGTCGCTCTCACATCGATACACCACCACATGTTACAGCAGCACAGAAACATCTGGCAGTGGGAGGGTCCAGGCTTCAGTCTCCTGCCGCAGTGCCTCTGGGCAGCGTCTTGTTGACTCATGTAGAGGCCGCCTGGCTCCGATCACTTCAATTACTCAAATGTCACACGAGGAAAGAATCAACATTTTTCCAGAAAGCAGCTTCAGCTTGTTGAACAGTCGAGCTCTGCTCCTTTAATCTGAACAAACCCTGATCCACTCACTGTCTAACATATTATATCTTATATTATTATATTATTATATGAGTGAATATCAGAGTCAGGTAACTGTCCACCAGCCAATGCCTCATGTACACTAACCTCAGACCTTGACTCGTCTCAGGAGAGAGAGAGAAAAACATTCAACATTTTGGGCTTAAGACGTAAAAGAAAAGAATATTTCACTAAAAAAGAAAAACATGAGACAGCATTTGTCTTAAATTTCCTTTTATCTCTTTAAAAATAGTGTTGTGACCCTGAGATTGTCCTTTAGACGCCCTGTGAGGTCAGGAACCGCTGATCAGTCTCTCTCTGTGTTCTGAGCTCACCTGGTCTGACGGAGGTTTTCATCTGGATTCAGTCGTTTTCTGAGATCTGAAGTCAGAGCAGACGCAGCTGTAAGAACAAGCTCCAACCTGCAGAAACCGGAGCCAGTAAACTCTCTATCTGGGGTTAATTGGATTTGTAGAAATGGCAGAACCAAAGCTGCTTTGTAATATTGTTATCAGGGGAGGTCGAAATCCAATATGGCCGCCAGAGGGCACACAACCTCTGTTCCTGGTCTCCTGACTCCTCCCGCTTTAACAGTGACGTCCTCTGAGAAAATCCTGCATCAGTTGAATTTAAAGATAAAGAGTGTGAGCGTGTGTGATGTTTATTAGCCTTCTGACACAGTGACCTCTGACCTCTGAATATTTAGTCAAACAGAGACGCTGAGCTGGAGTTTTCTTCTTCTGCTCTCCTCTCACCTGGAACCGATCCAGTCGACCCAGAATCAGACTCTGTCTTCACATAATAAATCAGATCAGTGGATCCAGCCCCGACCTTATATTTAAAGAAACTATTTGATTTCCTTTTTTCCTGATTGACCTTGAACGTCACTCGTGTTCTCTGTGACCAGCTGCTCAGAGCTGTATGAAGGCTTGGACTGTGGAAGGTTTCCCGTGGGGCGGCCATGTTGCTCTGTGACTGTTGTCAGTGTGAGCTTGTAAACAGTTTGTCTTAATAAAGTTGGGATTGAATGCAAGAATCAGCTGTGTGGCATCTGTAAATACAAGTTTTTCCTGTGAGTCAGAACATCTGGAGTTTGGTTCTGTGGATCTGACGGTGTTCTCCAAGGTTCTCGTCTTTCTCATTAGCACCTGATGTCTGCACTTTACAGTCTCCTGCTCACCTGTGTGACTCACCTGTAAATGTACAGTACAACTACACCTACTCACACTGTTCCTGTGTTTCCAGTTTCTGCTTCTTTGCACTTCAAGTTTTATGTGAAGTTTTGGCCCCGCAGGCAAATTCCATAGATTGTTGATGTTTGAAGTGAGGAGAACCGACACACACACACACACACACATACACACACACACACACACGCACACACACAGTGCAGCAAACACAGTGAAATGAGTCTGTCAGGAACTTAAAATGTGCAAAAGTGTGGGAACCATGTAAAGCCTCAGTTTCATTAACTCCTATACATTATATATATACAGTATATATATATATATATATATATATATACACATATACACATATACACACACTATCCCAGTGCACCCACAGTTTTACAGGAAGAGAAAACAGTGACTTCAACATCTTTACATGTGTCAGACTAAGAGATGACACCATGATTAAAGCTGAGATACAGGAGAAGAACATGTTACACTGTTAGCATGCTAACACGCTAATGACACACTGTCGACATGTAAAAACCTGAATGTCTAATAATCCAGTCAAACACCAGGTCAGGATCATTCAACTGCTGATCTACAATCAGTTCTACATTATTATTAATCGATTCTCAGTTTGATTATTGAGCCACACTTGATCAGGTTTCAGGGCAGGACTCCCTGCACCATCTTCAGCTGCTGCAGGAGCAGCTACAGTCACATGACTCCGCCAGGTCTGTGGCTGCGGGTGAGGGGGTGTTCACTCTCAGAGCCACCACACTCTGAAATCAGACACTGTCGCTCTTTACCTTCCTTTAACACATTTCTTTGGCTCAACCTTTGATAAAGTCTGAAACACGTTGGATTTAAATTGTTTTAATGATTGTTTTTATGTATTTTACTGACTCTCTTCACTTCCTGTCAGATCCTTTGGTTCTTTGATCTTTTCTTTTATCTGAAAGAAAAGCAAAGTTGTGTTTAAATAATGAAGTAAAGTTATGATGATTATTGTAAATGTTCCCGGTGAACACAGCTCGTCTGTTACCAAAAGGCTGCTGCTGTTCAAACCTTTATTCAGATATTAATCACACAGGAACAGTTCATAATCTGATTGTTACTCAACACATTCCACAGCTTCTGACTCCGCCCACCAGAGCTGTCACGACCTTTCACCCCAAAACTCCTTCAACACAGGTCCCCCACATGCACCTGAGTCCACCTCCCTCCTGCCTGTGTGTGTGTGTGTGTGTGTGTGTGTGTGTGGGGGGGGGGGGTAAATAGGCTTTAGGCTGGGGGGGCGAGCTGCTCTTAAATTAGCAGGAGTGTAATGTTTCTGGCAGTCAGCTGAGTTTCACCTCCTCAGCACCAGGCTGCATTTCACTTCCTGTTTCTACACTTATGGTAAAGTCTCTACGTTTCACAGCGTGGTGAGTTCAGGCCGCGCACACAGTCAGCATGTGGCTCGTACCGAGCTTCATCTCTCATATACAATCTATAATTATATTAAGTTTCTTATAGATTCCTTTCATTATTTTCCACTGTGCTGTCCCATTGTCACTTTTCTCTCCCCAGATGTTATAAAACCTTTACACTGATTTTAAATGTTTTTTATCATTCATTTATTATCCCATATGTAAATTCAGTATATGTACATATATTGAATTTCCGTATGTGAAACATACATTTTTATTTTATATGTACATATATGTAAAAATTATATATATTATGAAACCTGTTAGAAATTGGAACAATTTCATATATTGACATGTATATGTAGCCTATACAAATATATACATTTATGTATATATGCTTATATTGTAGCTATATGTTACATAAATATATATCCCTCCACAGCCTGTTAGTATATGTAGATATTATAAACATTAGAGTCCAAAAGTCTGAGACACTTTACCAGAATGTGAGGAGACATGTTTAAAATAAAAACATAAAAACATAAAAACATATATAATTTTTAGCATGTATGTTGTTTTAATAAACTACATAGAAAGCACCTATGTGTTTTATGTAAAATTCATTTAAATAAATTCATCACATAGTTATTTTTGATATATGAACATATACAAATTTTACTATGGGTATTTCATATATGTTATAAACTTATATACTTATATCCAGAGGATGTATATGTGTTAATAATATATCCCCTTCTGGAGACATATACTGTATGTCATATATTACATTTCTGTTTGGGACTGTTCATCCTCACTTTTAACTTTCGTAACTTTGTAACTATGTTTTGAAAAGTGCAAAATATATAAATCTTATTATTATTATTATTATTATTATCTTTTTAGTTTAGTTTACGTTCAGAGGGTTGAGTGTATATGAGGCACTGAATAAATATATAAACCTAAAGTCGAGGCAAATGTATTTGTACAGAACATTGTCATACACAGAGGTCATTCAATGACCCTAACAGAAATAAAAGAAGCATAAAAACAGATTATAAAACAGATCATTAAAGTGCAGGATTAAAAGATGAAATGAAGGCAGAGGAGGACAAAGCAGTTTTTAGCTTCTTTAGTTATTTTGTAAAAGTAGAAAAATGACAGTTGAACATGTAAAACTGGAATGAAGAACGAGTCTGACACTATGGATGTGTTAAAAGAAGGAATGCGGAAAAAAGGAAAAAAATATGTGACATTATGTGATGGTGATGGTGAATCACTGTCCAGTACATTCATTATAAAGACACACCAACTCCAACACCAGCGTTTAATCATATTTACTTTCATACAATTATATTTATTCTAATTTAATTTGTATTTTATGCCTTGTACTTGTATTTTATCTTTGACTGTGACTTGTAAGTCGTCCTGAAAGGTGCCTATAAATAATATGTATTATTATTATTACATACTACATGTCGTTCAGTTCACAGTTTGGCAGAGAAATTTTCAGCTGGGCCGGAGTTCAGATCCTCCAACACACATTTATAATCTCAATTAAAACACACACAGTCCTCTGAGTTCAGTGTGATGAAGACTTTATTACAAATAAATCAAAACACAGCAACAAAACCTGGGACTGAGCTGAACTGTGTCACTCCTCCTGTTGTTACCATCTACATGACCTTGTACCAGGACTTCTGTATCTCATGTTTTGGGTACTCTGTGTCAGATGCTCCAGTCGCTCATTAAAACTTTGGATATCAGTTGCTTCCCACAGACTCAGTGCTACACATCCAAGGCCAAAAAAATTAAAATAAAGTAAACTGTGTAAAAAGATAAATGATTATATCCTTAATCACAGTGGTAATAAATGGTGACACATGATCATTTATAAATTTTATAAAATAAGTAAACAAAACATAAACACTCACAAGTACCCATACAGAAATATAATATATACATACATATACATATATATACATATATGTCACCTACAAGGGGATATATGATTATCACATATATACATCCTCTGAGCATATGAAGATATAAGTTTATGACATATATGAAATACCCAGAGTAAAATGTGTATATGCATATATATTTAACATATCTAGATTCGTTTTTATGTAGTATAACATGTTATGAGCAGACTGTATATGTTGAATGATACATACATACATAAACATACAAATTTTTATGAGCTTGACATATATGTCAATATATAAAATTGTTCCAGTTTCTAATAGGTTTCAAATATAATTTCTACTTATATTTTATTTTATATGTACATGTATTTCATGTATGTAAATTCAATATGTGTACATATCTTACATTTGCATATGGGTGATTAAAGCTAAAAATTATAACTAACTCATGAATAAAATAAATAACAAAAGCAACATTCATATTATTACAGATTAAGATGAGATAGTTTGTGTGTGTAATAAAATGTGTTTTAAAGTCTTGTGTAATCTGAATGATCTTATTTAACTCCGGCAGTCAGTGGAGTAGCTCAGTTACTCATTTTCTAACCGGGAAAACACCAACCGAGTCCAGACAAAACTTGTTCCAAACACTCAGCCTATTGGCCGGCCCACACCAACCCTTATCCAATCACATCGCTCATAAGCGGGGCGGGATCTTCTACAGCCAATAGAAATGCAGAGTAGGTCCAGGTACGTCGTGTAAACTCGGCTCCGACGATAAAAACCGAGCCGTCATGTTTCCGTCCCTCCCTCTCTGCCACTATCCGTCGGCCAGGCTGCTGCAGCGCTCAACCTGCCCGGGATACAACACCAGAAATCAGCCATGTCTGACAAACTCCCCTTCAAAGTTGGTCAGTGTCACGGTTCATCGTTTTAACTGTGCTCCAGAGTCAAGCTTCGTGAAGCACGGCGGCGGTTTTTTAGCTAGCATGCTGTTAAGTTTATGCTAACGTGTAACGGCTCCTCCATCATTCGGGGGTTAGCCTGAAAACGTCACCGTGCAGTGAAGCTAGTGTTTTCAGACGTTTAAGACTAATGTATTGTTATTCCCGCGATTTCTATCGTTAATTCTCTCTCATGGCTCAGTTGTTGCTAACTTGCTAGCATGTGGTAAACTGTTAGCTGTTGTTATTGTGATTTAGCTAGCAGCGTGTTGAGCATGTTTGTTGTTCGCTACAATCATTTTAGGCTACATCCGGTAAATTCCCGCTTTTAACCCGTCGTTTTTTCAAACTTTAATTCAAATCAGAGAATGAATCGACATGTAACAGTCGCTCTGGTGCCAAGCATGGGCTTCAATCTGAGCAGAGACGAGTCCACAGCCTCTGGGTGTTGTAGTTTATTAGCGGAGCCGGCGGCGTCACGCTCCTTAGCTCCTGTCTGTGTTTGTAAACTGCAATTCCCGTGATGCCTGGCGCCGCTCCGGCAGTTTCTGCATGAGTGACAGGAGCAGGCAGAGACTGAGCTGCAGCCTATGTAATTTACACACTGTAGTAGTCCTGGACTACACGTGGTATTGGTGTGCAGCAGGTTTTAGAGTTATGTGCATTTGATTAAATGTTTTTATTAATTTTGTTTTTGAAAAAAAAAAATCTTTTATTTCTTCAGGTGTTTGTTCAGCTCCAGAAATCAACTGAGGGGAAAAATGAAAAATAAGTAAAGGGGAACAGCTGCTGTAACATATTTACATTGAAAAACAAAAAAATGCACTTGATAAACATTTGATAAAAATTGCATTCAGTGAATGTATCAGAAAACACATGCTGAATATTCATTCATTCATTAATTCAGGTATCATTCATTACATTAACTACAGTTGTAACATGTGTCATAACAGTTGTTTGCTGCTGTCACTACTGCTCTGGACGAGTTCGGCAGCTGGTTCAGAAGTTGCACAACGTCCTGCTAACAGATAGCTCCAGGGCAAAGTCTACAGCCTCCACTGGAAACAGGCAGTCAAGTGTTTAGACTTCACCGCAGTGACTATCTGTCAAGTCCTGACATGCTAATTATGCATTATCACTCTATAAAACAAACACTAAATCAGTGCAACATGTTTTCTGCTGTAGACAAATCTTTGTTGTTACTTCACATCTTTTTTTTAAGTGTAATTTTCTCCTACAGTTCTGATGTTTTATGTTAATAATCAATACAGCATTATATTAGTCATTAGTGCTGCAGTATTTATTCCTTTATACCCGAATCAGTCAACAGTTTGCTGTGGTCTTTAGAGCAGTCGTACCAGTCACGCCTGTGGTGGATAACTGCACTTCAAAGACTAATACTGTACTGTTTATAGGTGGCTTTGAATGGGATTTGAACCCAACTTCCTGCCAATATTGGAGCTCAGCTCATGTACTTAAGACGGCCGCAGACTTGTTTCACTCTCTGATCCTCTTCTGAAGAAGTTAGAAGTTTTAGGCTGCGGTTGAAAAGTCAAAATAACCTCCTACTCACATCGTCTCCCCGACCTCCATGGAAATCATCATGAGGTCACAGATGTGAAGGAGAATTCATTAAGACTGAGAAGAATCTGACTGACCTTACACTAAGATATATATACTGTATACACAGTATTTTTTTTTTTTTTTTTAACTAACCTTATTTATAACACCTGGAGGATGAATGTCAACTGGATTGAAATGTTGAAATAAAAATACAGAAAATGTCATTACAATAATTAAATAGAAATAATGAGCTGAGAATAAATTATATTCAGACAGAAGTTTAGTTTCCTGACATTTCTATACATTTGTACAACAGAGAAAATTCATGTTTGGTTCTTTCCACAACAGGAGGATTCAGTCAAACAACATGAATGTATAGACTATAGTATTTAGTTGTGATGATGATGTAACTATAGATTCATCAGCTCGTTCTTCATGACGACTCCTGACTGACTGAAAGAGAATAAATCTGTATTTATGGATCTGAGCTTCAGTCCATCAGACAGAAACAGCTGCTCTGATGTTTCTACATTTATGTGGCTCTGCTGTGGTTTTAAATGTTGCTGCAGCAAGGCATTGTGGGACGGCATGTCTCCTTTCCTTTGGTAAAGGAAGCTCCAGTGTTTCCTAAAGGAGATGAGAGAGGAAGCAGTGAAGCTCCTCTCCTCACTCTGATCATGAAGTTGCTCAGAGACTGAAGATCATTTCTCTCAGTCTGAAGCTTCATCAATAAAAAGTCTTTGTTCAGTCACGACTTTGAGCTCAGTGTGAAGTCGTTCCTGAGCCAGTCAGTCGGCCCAGTGCTGGTTCAGTGCAGTCAGACCAGCTGAGGTGTGTTTGAACAGGCTGCAGCCTTTTTGGTGGTGGTGGGGGGGTTGTACTCTGTGACCTCATCCTGCAGCCTGAAGTTTATCTGCAGTATAAAGCAGAGTTCTTCACTTCCTGTTAAATCACAAAGCTTCCTCTTATATTTTGATCATCTCTAACTTGAAGTGTACAGATCAGTGGTTTCACCAGCACATGTTCAGTATGGATAATGAAGGATAATGTCCCTGTGTGATGTTGGTCCTTATCTGCTTCTCTCCCCCGGGGGGCTGTTAGCAGTGGGCTGGTGGTTCAGTGCTGTGTGATCTGATAGTGAAGCTCTGACTCCAGCTCTGACACATGGTGGCTTCAGATAAAGGACGGAGTGATTCAGAGCAGCAGATGCAGAGCTGTGGCTCTTTGCTCTTCTGTTGTGAGTCCAGCTGGAGATTATCAGCCGGTGTTCGCCCTGCAGCGCTGCCTCTGCTGCCTCTCTTCACCCTCCCCCCTGATTGTGACTGACAGGCTCTTTGCCTTCACTGTAAAAACTCTGGTTTCCCTCCATGTTGCATCATGCAGCTGTGAACCTGAGAGTTTTGTTAGTGGAGAAAAACACTTTGTGCAAATCTTCATGGAGACAAAGTTCTACTGAAGCAACACGAACTGAAAACAAGAAGTGAAGGTTTTACAGTGTGTGCGGAGTCCTGCAGCTTTACCTGTCGGCATTTTACATATTTCAGTATATTTATTCTGATTTTATTTATGCCCTTCATGTGTTTGTGGTTGTTTTTTGTTATCATGAAAACATCATGATCTGATACCTGATAGATTTGAGGTGTACAGAGGAGGATTAAAGCCACGTGGAAAAAAAAATTTCTATTATAATTCAGACTTTAAAAAACAAAAACAAAAAAAAAACTTTTTTTTTTCCTGAAAAATGTTTCCTCGTGGCTCTAATCCTCTTCTGTACGGAGATGTTTAGGTGTGGTGTGCCCTTTAATTGAGACGACAGGTGAACATGTGTTCATGAGAGTGGAAGGGCAAACAATTTTCATCCTCACAGCTTCAAAATATACTCGACTACTACGAATATGTGTTTGTTTATTTATTTATTTATTTTTTACAAGTTTACAGTAGCACGTCCTTTTTTTTTTTTTTTTCTTCTCATTAATAAATGTTGGAACGTTCAGGAGAGACTTCATGTTGATGTAACGGTACACAGTGATGCTTTATTACGTTTTAAATCACCCACCTCTGTTAGTGAGGTCACGTTCTTCACTCTGATAAAAACAAAACAAACAAACTGCACATGTGCAGCAGCAGCTGATGGAGATTAAAGGAGTGAACAAACTACAACACACAGTTCAACCCCCCCACTGTGTAACGGCTCGCAGTCACATTAGGCAATGATGCACGATTTTACATGCATTAGGAAAAACATTTGCAGTTTTCACCAGACTGCTTTATTTGCACATTTGCTGTTTTGCAAAAAAAATGTGAATTTTCCTATTCAGACAGGATTAAATAAACTGAGTCCATGGTGAATAGAAGACATCAGTTGAGAATGTATAAACTGTAATACTCACATTTCTCACCTCCCTGTGTCTCCCCGTCTCCCCCAGCTGACATCACCCTGGCCGAGTGGGGGCGTAAGGCCATTGATATCGCAGAGAACGAGATGCCCGGTCTGATGAAGATGAGGGAGATGTACAGTCAGTCCAAGCCTCTGAAGGGCGCCCGCATCGCCGGCTGCCTCCACATGACCCTGCAGACCGCCGTGCTCATCGAGACCCTCATCGCCCTCGGAGCTGAGGTAACGTCTAAACGTCTTCACCCAGAGAAAATCCACCAATCAGAAAACAGCCCTCTACGGTGACAGGAAGTGTGGCAGCTGTGGCAGCGGGGGGAGTCTTAACAAAAGTCTTTCCACATCCTGCAGTGGATTTATTTATTTCACCTGCTCATGTCTCATCTTTAAATGAGGGAAGTCTAAATATAAATCTGAAATATCTAAAGCTTCCAGCTGCTGTGACCTGCTGCAGTCGTCTTCTTTAAGAGCAAAGACAGATGTTTTAGACGAGGACATGATCTGTTCATTCACACAGTCTCTTATACAACGATGAGACTGGACTTTGTTTCCACTCAGATCTACTTCGCGTCTTCTGGTTGTTCATTGTCGAGTCAAACGTCTCTAGGAGACGGAGCCCTGTTGTTGTTTGTGTTAGTTATTCTTTATCCTACTTTGACTTGTTCTTGATTCATGTGAAGAATCAGTTTGTGTGAAGAATACATCTGGGTCAAGATTCATAAATGATGCGTTCACATAAAAACCATACATACGCCATTTCCCACTCATAGATTAGTTTTTATCAACACAATGTGTCACCTCACACATTCCTTCGGCCGTGTGAACACACGGTTTTCTAAAGACATCCAAGTCACAAAATAAAGAGACATGTAATTTAACATAAAATAAAGTTTCTATCTTTAGCCTTAAGTTACAGTTGAGCTAACTATTGTTAGCTAGTTTCCAACTTTAGCCTTGAGCTACAGTCATTTACTATAGAATAAAATAACCAACTTCAGAGTTTCATTCATTATCATCATTAAAGGTTTTATAATAATTAAACATTTCATAAACAGAAGTAATTGTTGGTGTTTAATGTCCTTATTATTTATTGTGAGTGATTGTGTAAACTGATACTATTTTCATATTGACTGATCTCAGTGTTGGAGCCTCGTTAAGACTCTAGTCCCAGCAAATGAAGCTCGGAGTGAAACAGGACTTTACATCAGAGTGATTGTACTGAAGTAAACGGATGATGTTTTTACTTCACTGTCACAATCAGTGAAATTGTTCTTCCTCGTCTTTCTTCTCTTGCTGTGTAAACATCAAAACTTATAATGACGATAATGAATGATGCTCTGTGAAGTTTTATATATTTTCACTTCACTGTAACTTTAGAAAACGGTGCGTTCACATGTCAAAGGAATGAGTGAGGAAATGGCTTCATGCTCGTGACTCCAGCAGCTTGTGTTCACGTCATTAGTCCAGAGATTCACACAGTTTCAGCTGCAATGATTTGTTTTATTAGTAAAATAGATTGCTCTTCATGGTGACTTTAATAAAGATCTGATTTATATTTTAAGACAAAGTTGTACATTAATGAAGTTAATTTAATAATTTAAATGAATAATCAATTTAATTCTAAAGGTTCACTGACTTTTTCTAACTCCTGTAAGTCAGTAAGTAAGTAAGTACATACATACATACATACATACATAAACTTATGATCCTTAACTGGATGACTGGTTGTGTTGGTGATGACTCGGTGTGTGAACACGGCTTCAGACCAGCAGCTGACCAGTGAACTTGTGTCTGTCAGGTGGAGCTCTGCTGTAGTTCACCACAGTCAGTTAATGACACAGGACAGGTTATTGATCCAGTCATCAGAACAAACTGTCTCAGTGAGTTTTCCCTCTCCCTCCGTCTGTCTCAAGGCCGTGAGTCTGTTATCATGTTGGTTTTATCTGACCTGGTCTGGTCTGGTCTGGTCCTGCAGGATCCTGCAGCCTGAGAACCAGCTGAGACTAAACAACAACCTGCTCTCTGAGCCTGGTTCACTTCTGTCTCTGTGCTGAGACACTGAACTGTGTGACTCTGTATCTGGATTTATTCAGTCAGTGGGACACCTGTTGTCACAGTAACTTAAACTGTCACATGCAGCTGGAAGTTAAAGCTGCAGTACAGTGTGTTTGACACTAGATGGCAGCGCTGTGTGTGTTTGGATCATTAACTTCATTAAATAGAATCTGAGTCTGATCCAACATGAAGTGAATGAGCTGCTGTTGTTTTATGAACCAGGTCATTATGATTGTGATCAGGGCTGAACCATGTGAAAGACACATCATATTGTGATATGAGCCATGATTTCAGTTGGAGTGCTAATTTTTGCATTTTGTTGTTCTTGCACCAAACAATCTTGTTCCTTTACATCTTGAATATGATTTTTGTTGACACATTTTAGATGTAAAAAAAAAAAAAACATTGCGGCTCTTGCAATTTGGATCTTGCTCTTGGTTATGTTGCAGTTTTGATTAATTGTGCAGCTCTAGTTAAGATGCATTATTATTATTATTATTATTATTATTATTATACATGAAGTGACGTCCTGCCCCTCGAGGCGTTGCAGCTCAACTGTGAGTGTTGCAGCTGTGTCAGGAGGCGGCAGAGAGAGACAGGTGGTGGTCTGCACTGAGACTCTACGACACACTGAGGACTCAGAGTGATCATCACCACCCACACCTCAACACTGAGGCTGCTGAATGAGCCAATCAGACACCTGTAAAGGTCACACCTGTCAGTCACAGGTAGAGCTCTAACTGATGATGGTCAACACCAGAACATGACTCATCTAGACTTTCACTTTTAGTTGGAATTTGATTTTAATTATCTTGGATACAAAGATAAAGAAGCCTGATTCTAATACAGTTAAATTATGTTTATATTAAGTCAGTGTTTATCTTCCTCCTCCTCAGGTTCAGTGGTCCAGCTGTAACATCTTCTCCACTCAGGATCACGCTGCTGCCGCCATCGCCAAGGCTGGTATTCCAGGTAACACACACCACCTGTGTGTATGATGTTCCATACCTGTCTGAGTAAAAATATATCCATTCAGATTCATGTATGAACTGCAACTGTTCAAACACTTAGTGTGTCCACACCACCCACAGTTTAGATTGACAGTTGGTGGGTGGGAATATTCCCACGTGACTCTGAGAGGAAGCAGGTGAACAGGTGTGTGTGTGTGTGTGTGTGTGTGTGTGTGGAGTGTACGCGGGGAAAGGAGAGACAGAGGAGGAGTACGTGTGGTGCATACGAACAGACTGTGTACTTCAAAGGACGGTCAGCCCCTCAACATGGATCCTGGACGACGGAGGAGACCTCACCAACCTGGTCCACAAGAAGTACCCCAAACTGCTGCGGTGTTTTCTTTCTCTCCCACACACACACACACACACACACACACACACACACACACACACACACACACACTCTCACTCACACTCTACTGTAAGAGTAAATTCAGCGATGTGTAGATTTCTCTGTGGGACTAATGAAGAACTGTCTTATCCACATGTTAAAGCTGCTGTAGAGTTGGACACTGGTCTGACACAAGCTGCATCTCATTCATGTTTTTATTTATTTTATTTATTTGGATTCCCATCAGCCACCACCAAGTCGCAGCTCCTCTTCCTGGGCTCCACTTAGGGAAAAATTACATCCTAATGCAAAACAATGTAAAATAAAAACCAAGACAAAAAAGGAGCAAGAGAAGAACAACACAGCAGGAAGCCGAGCTTTATCTAAAGTAAAACACTTGATGCAGATGCCACTAAAAACAGTATCTACAGTGACTGAAGAATAAAATGAGGTTAAAAAGTTTCTCATTAAGTTTCTCATTAATCATCATCATATTAAGCGTCAAAAGATGTCGTTTTTTTTTTTTTTTTTTTTTTTTTTTTTTTTTTTTTTAAGAGGTTGTTACAGTTGAACTTTATTTAAAATTCACACAAGTGTCCAGCAGCTCAATGGTACTAATAATAACTAAATAATAACTTTAATAACCCAAAAGGTATTATTATTATTATTATTATTATTATTATTATTATGATGATAAAGGCTTAATATTATTTAAATAATGAAAGTTAAAGATCATTTCAAGACATTTCCAAACATTATTTAAGTGACATCACAGAGACTGATGTAGTGAATGTCAGCACGGCTGTGATTGGGTCAGAGTGATATCCTTTTTATACAACACTTTTCCCAGCACCACATTGGTTAAATAAACAACAACAGATTATGATTTGATTGTTTATTTCCTAATTTATTTGGCCACACCAACACAAATAGTTCCTCCAAGCAACACGTTACATTTGTTGGTGCATTAATCCGGGTGACGTCCTGCCCCTCGAGGCGTTGCAGCTCAACTGTGAGTGTTGCAGCTGTGTCAGGAGGCGGCAGAGAGAGACAGGTGGTGGTCTGCACTGAGACTCTACGACACACTGAGGACTCAGAGTGATCATCACCACCCACACCTCAACACTGAGGCTGCTGAATGAGCCAATCAGACACCTGTAAAGGTCACACCTGTCAGTCACAGGTAGAGCTCTAACTGATGATGGTCAACACCAGAACATGACTGTTTGATGTTTAATCCAAGGTAACTGAATTCAGAGTCTCTTCCTCCTCCTCCTCCTCCTCTTCCAGTGTCACAGGTGGAGATCAGCTGAGGCCCCCCCCCCCCCCCCCCCCCCCCCCCCCCCCCCCCCTCCAGTTTCTGTTGAAACGTCTCGGTCATGTGACTCTGGTGTGTTCTCAGGTATCCGTGGAGTGTCTGAGGAAACGACCACAGGTGTCCACAACCTGTACAAGATGATGAAGAAGGGCGATCTGAAGATCCCCGCCATCAATGTCAACGACTCTGTCACCAAGGTAACCACCTCCATCGGTCCTGCTGTTCAGCTGCATCCTGCAGAGTCCACATGAGGAACAAGAAGATATTGATCCTCGTTCATTCTCTTAGATATCACCATCAACATGTTTGATTTGTAAAGTGTGACCTCACAGGTGGGTGGAGTTTAATAATATCAGGTGTTTGTCTTGATTTTCTTCGTCTTTAGAGCGAAATGACTCGTTATAGAAGTTTTGAAATGATCCCATCTTCTAGTGAAACACCGAATCTGCAGTTGTTCTGATGCTGCTCTTTGAAACGCCTCCGACACCTGATCAGACTTCAGCGTGCGTGGAGTTCATTAATGATCGTTATCGTTTATCAGCTGGATTAAACAGCAGGTGTCCAGAATCACTTCTTCCTCTCTGCTCTAAAACAGTAGTGCAACTTCCTGTGTAGGCTGCAGTTTCAGAGCAGTGAAGAAGAGCTGGTTTCTGGTAAACAGTGTAGCATTAGCTGTTAGCAAAACACCAGCAGTTTGTCAACAAGTTGAACTAGAGGGTCGCTCCAGTTAAAAAGTATGGAAGGCTTCAGTGTAGGAAGTTATTAATTCCTACATTTAGTTATTTATCTATTTATTTTTTGATTGACAGTCAGATTGGACAATAATAGATTTCATTCATGTGTGTTGATGTTTAACATGATTCATACAGCAGTGACAGCAGTCATGTCTCATCCACACAGTCAGTAGTTTACAGCTGTTTTTATTTTCTTCATGTGAAAATAGAATAAGAAATGTTGTTGAACATCTCTAATTATTCAGCTCAGTGAAGCAGCTCTGACCTGCAGCTTTAATCTGCAGCTGCACAATTAATCCAGATATAAACAAAATCTCAGTTTGGCCACGTTCAACATCCAAATCTCAGCAGCTGCAGTTTCTTTGAAGGTAAAATGTGTCACATTGTTGTTCATTGTTAGCATTAGCATTGTTAGCACCATCAGTGTTGTGGCGCTACAGAGACGCCACGACCTACAGATCATATTCTCCAGACGTAGAATCACATCTTCATCATTTTTATATTTTCTTCAGTCGTTCACACTGAAATCACAAGATCTGACAAAAGAATCACAATCTCATTTTGTGCAGAAATCACTTTGGTCTGTCGACACGTCGTGTCCACTGTCTCACTCAGACCATCAGAAAGTTAAAAGTTCAACAGTGACACTTTGAGGTCGTAGGAATCCTCAGACTTGTTGAACTCCATGTCTGAACATGACTCCAGGTCCTCAGCAGGAACTGGTCTGTCTCCTGGTTCTGTTCTGGAGAAACTCGACGTCATCGTGTCTCCTGTCTCTGTCCCTTCTGCAGAGTAAGTTTGACAACCTGTACGGCTGCAGGGAGAGTCTGATCGACGGCATCAAGCGCGCCACTGACGTCATGATCGCCGGGAAAGTCGCCGTGGTGGCGGGTTACGGTGACGTGGGCAAAGGCTGCGTCCAGGCTCTGCGCGGGTTCGGAGCTCGCGTCATCGTCACCGAGATCGACCCCATCAACGCCCTGCAGGCCGCCATGGAGGGTAGGTGACCACGGACAGAGCAGGATGGAGCGTTCAGGAAGTCTTCAGACCCTTCAAGAGAAAACTACTTTTTTACAAAAACTGAAATGTCACATTGACACATTTACAGCATCAGTCGTTGTTTTCTGCAGATCCTCAGACCGTCTGATACACTGAGTTTAAACTTCGTGGAGTCTGTTATCTTCAGATCTGATGAGACTTTCTAACATGTTTACGGACAAATCTGTGTGAAGCTCTATGTAGAGCTGTTCAATCAAACAAACTTTATTTGTACTGCACTTTTCATACAGGTCAGTTCAAAGAGCTTCAGACTGATGAGAAACAATAAAACCGATTTTTAAAAAAAGAAAAGAAATAACAACATGAACAAACAATAAAATCACAAGAAAATTAATAATAAAAGAACAAAATAGAATAAAATATAAATTTTTATAAGTGAATAAGATTAAAAACCATATTTAATGGAAAGCCAGGCTGAAGAGGAAAGCTTTGAGTTCACGTTTAAACTTTTCAACACTTCAGCTGCTCTCAGGTCGTCATGGAGACAGTTCCATCGGCCTGGAGCTTCACCACAGGTTTGAGTCCTGAACTTCAGAACAACTAACAGACGGGTACCGGACGACCCGAGGAGCAAAGAGTGTAAACATGAGACACGAAGAGCTTTAAAAACGATCAATAAAATCCAGACCAAAGAGAAACAGTCGTACTTCACAAATATTTTTCAGATGATAAAATCAGATTTGGAAACACGAGCTTCAAGGTTTAGCTCTGAATCAAAGATCACCTCCAGGTGTTTCTCTCGGTGAGTCCAAGGAGCCGAAGATTTAACATCTCGGTGAAATCTGAGAAGTGACGCGACTAAATAAGTCAATAAGCAGTTTGTGGATGAACAGACGAGGTTCTCTCTTTAAAATGTTAATCACAATACTTTATTGATCCCCAGGGGGAAATGAAATGGCGTTACAGCTGCTCCCTCAACAGTGGAACTGTATCAGCAAAGAATAAGAAATAAGATCATATGGATAAAATATGAAAATACGTCCTTATACTGTGAGATGTATCAGATGAAAGACGTAGTGATCAGTCTGTTGGGTCATGACGCCGCGTATTGACCTCTGACCGTCTGTGTGTTGCTCTGCAGGTTATGAGGTCACCACCATGGACGAGGCCTGTAAAGAGGGAAACATCTTCGTCACCACCACCGGCTGCGAGGACATCATCCTGGGACAGTAAGTTCAGCTCACGGTCTCGGCTGCGTCTCGCTGTGATGACGGCGTCTCTGATAAACGCTGTGTCTCGTCCTCAGACACTTTGAGAACATGAAGGACGACGCCATCGTCTGTAACATCGGACACTTCGACTGCGAGATCGACATGAGCTGGCTCACCAAGAATGCTGCGGAGAAGGTCAACATCAAGCCTCAGGTACGACCAATAAAACCTTATTTTTATCCCTCCGCGACAGTCTCAGCGGCAGCCATTTGTTTTCAGGTCCTCTTCTCCGTCTCATTCTCGCGAACACGAAATCTCAGTAACACCAGGACGAACTTATTACATTTTGGTGGATAAAGGTCAAAGGTCACGGTGACCTCAGAAAACACTTTTTATTACTCGAGACTTGACAGCAAAATGACAAAATGTAACACAAATGTTTAATATTTTCTCTGAGTGGATAAACAGGATGTGACCAGGAGGTGGTCGGAGTGGAGGAAGAGGAGATTCTGGTTTTATACTAGAATAATGTCCCATTTTAAACTGTTGACTCCATTAATCTTCCTCCTCCTCCTCCTCCTCAGGTTGATCGTTACCGCCTGAAGAGCGGGCGTCACATCATCGTCCTGGCTGAGGGCAGACTGGTGAACCTGGGCTGTGCCATGGGACACCCGTCCTTCGTCATGAGCAACTCCTTCACCAATCAGGTGAGTTGATCCGGAGGAGTGATCAGATGATCCTTCACTTCACCGTCTCTTCAGCTGTGAACATGAACCTGGACGAATCAGAGAAACCTTCAGATCTCAGATCAGTCTGCCTGAGTAAAACATGTCCGTGTGATGATGATGATGATGATGATGATGGTGATGATGATGGTGAGTGGTGTCCTGCAGGTGCTGGCTCAGATCGAGTTGTGGGTGAACACCTCCAAATACCCCGTGGGAGTCTACTTCCTGCCCAAGAAGGTGAGAACCCACCAAACAACAGCACTCTCTATTTCCTCACATACTTTCTGTTCAAGTGCAGCAAAGATTTAATGAGTCAGGAAACGTTGCGTCAGACTCGACTTCCTTCCTTTGAATCTGAACGTGATGTTTTCGGCTTCACGTTCATCAGGTGGTTTGAAACAGCTGAGTCATCAGGTGATTGACAGGAAGTTTGATCTGCAGCTGTTTTCAGATTCAGTGTCAGTAGATAAAAAGATAATAATCTAAAGCCTGTGATTTGATTCTTTATAAATGTGGGAAAAAACTGCATGAAAATTTTTGAAAATGTAAGATAAAGATTAGATGAACTTTTATTGATCCGCTGTAGAGGAAAGTCAAATCGACACAAGGAGAAAATGTGATAAAGAAATATAATAATAGAAACAGAATCTAGAATAAATAAGAGATTAGAAATACTATATCCAATAACAAAGTATGTATTTCTGTAAATATTAAAATGAATATAAAGAATTTAGAGGTTCACATGTTGACAGAAGTTTACTGAGCTCGTAATTATTTATCAAGCAGAAAAAACCTAATGTTTTGTTGAGATTCTTAAATCAGACGACGTTCTATTTTCTTTTTATATCAGTATAAATTTTAATATTTTAACTTTTAAACAGTTTGATAGACAAAAAAATAAAATCTGAAAATTTCATCTTTTCAATGTTTCCTGAAAATTGATAAAAATAAGTCGAGAATAAATAAGAGGCCAAAAGATAATTATATAAATACTTTAATCATCCCATCATGGGACATTCAGTCATCCAGCAGCTCACCTTCAGTTTCAGTTCAACAGGAAAATAAAACGATTATAAAATGATAAAATGTTCAGTTTCACATGAAATCAGTAAAAGTCAAATTAGGCAGAAAAATCTTAGTTTCTAACTTTATAGAGTTAGAAAGTTTATATAGAGTTTAACTGTGTCTCTTGTCCCTGTGTCCTCAGCTGGACGAGCAGGTGGCCGCCGCCCACCTGGACAAACTGGGGGTGAAGCTGACCAAGCTGACAGACAAGCAGGCCAAGTACCTGGGTCTGCCCAACGAGGGGCCCTTCAAACCGGACCACTACCGCTACTGAGCCCCCCCTCCCCCGAGCCCTGCTGGGGAGAGGAGGAGAAGGAGGAGGAGTGGCTGGACAGGTGTTGGTGTGTTGGTGGATGATGGGAGCTCTGGGACAGTTTCTCCAGGTTTCACTCTGGGAGCCAAATATCAAGTTTTCAGGGACAGAAACAGTTTGATTTTCCCTCTTTAAAAAACAAAAAAACAAAAAACTTTTCAATCAAACGCCGTGTTCTGCTTTTACTGATCCTCCATAGAGCTGCAGAGTAGAAACAGGAAGTAGACACAAAGCTTCATCAGTAGTTTGATGTGGGAGTGTTAAGTGTCATAAAGTCGAATCAACAATCAGCTGAAAGTTTAGTTTGTCTCATCGTGTTATTTCCCTCCGACACCTTCATCCCTCGTCCGTCTCTCCTCTTCCTCATCAGCTCTCCTGAAACACCGTCAGTGGCCGTCAGAGACTCTTCCTCTTGTTCATGTCATTCCCTCCTTTAATGGAAAAAATAAACCTCTTCTATCCGACCTCCATCTCGCAGCGTCTCCAGGAGAGAAGGTTTCGAGGCAGATGGTTTAGTGTACAGTGGCCTTATTCCATAACACTGCCCTGTGTTAGCACTTAACTCAAACTGTACGTGAACTGAAGACGAGCGCCGCTGCCAAAGGAACCTCCAACGCTCCTCCTGTTTCTGCCTGAGTCTTATTCTGTTGCCTCATTTTCCTCCTTTATTGTGATTTTTATTTAATTTGACTTAAAGGGCCAAAACATGTGCAACAGCCCCCCGCCCCACCCCCTCTTTTCATGTCTCACTGTAGTGAATCAGGTTGTTCAGACGCTGGGTGGAGTCAGTGATGGTCGTGGTTACAGCCTGAAGCAGAGTTCAACTTCCTGTAAACCATGGATTGAAAACTGAAAAATAAAGATGTTGACTCTGATTGTTTGTCCTCGTGTGGTTATATACATGATGTTGACGGGTAGAACTGAAACGCACTGTGGCTCAGGAGTCGCTGGTTTGATCCCCGCCTCCTCTGGTCCACATGTAAGTGTCCCTGGGGAAGACCGGTTGTCCTGATGCATCATCAGTGCAGCAGATATGCTAACTGTTCTGAAAAGATGGTAGCTATGCTAACTGTTCTGAAAAGATGCTAACTATGCTAACTGTTCTGAAAAGATGCTAACTACGCTAACTGTTCTGAAAAGATGCTAACTGTTCTAACTACTCTAACTGAAAAGATGCAAACTTCTCTGAAAAGATGCTAACTACGCTAACTGTTCTGAAAAGATGCTAACTATGCGAACTGTTCTGAAAAGATGCTAACTACGCTAACTTTTCTAACTACTCTAACTGAAAAGATGCTAACTGTTCTGAAAAGATGCTAACTACGCTAACTGTTCTAACTACTCTAACTGAAAAGATGCTAACTGTTCTGCGGTCCAAACCAAACTACATAGATAGATTGATACTTTATTTGTCCCCTAGGGGAAATTCATGTGTCCATTAGCTCATTGTTTATAGTAGCTCCTGATTAGAATGATTGCTAATGTGTAGCTAGTCATGTAATTCCATAGAACACACAGCAAAAGTCACAAATAATCGTTCTGCTGAAACTTTCATGCTTTAGTCATAAGATGTACGACTGGTTTGTCTCTGATCCACTACATCAGTGTGTGAGTGAATGTGTCTTTGAATGGCTCATCACTTCAGCTCATTCACTAAACTGGTCCTCTGATCGTCCCGGGTCCCTGGTCTTGGGTCCCTGGTCTCTGGTCCCTGGTCTTGGGTCTCTGGTCCCGCGTCCCTCGTCTCTGGTCCCTGGTCTCTGGTCCCTGGTCCCTGGTCCCTGGTCTCGTCCCTGGTCTCTGGTCTCTGGTCTTGTCTCTGGTCCCTGGTGCCTGGTCTCTGGTCTCTGGTCCCTGGTCTTGGGTCTCTGGTCCCGCGTCCCTCGTCCCTGGTCTCGTCCCTGGTCTCTGGTCTCTGGTCCCTGGTGCCTGGTCTCTGGTCTCTGGTCCCTGGTCCCTGGTCTCTGGTCTCTGGTCCCTGGTCCCTGGTCTCTGGTCTCTGGTCCCTGGTCCCTGGTCTCTGGTCTCTGGTCTCTGGTCTCGGGTCTCGGGTCTCGGGTCTCTGGTCCCTGGTCTCTGGTCTCTGGTCTCGGGTCTGGTCCCTGGTCTCTGGTCTCTGGTTTCTGGTCCCTGGTCCCTGGTCCCTGGTCTCGTCTCTGGTCCCTGGTCCCGGGTCTTGTCTCTGGTCTCGGGTCTGGTCCCTGGTCCCTGGTCCCTGGTCCCTGGTCCCTGGTCTCGTCTCTGGTCCCTGGTCCCGGGTCTCTGGTCTCGGGTCTCGGGTCTGGTCTCTGGTCCCTGGTCTGGTCTCTGGGCCCTGGTCCCTGGTCCCTGGTCTCTGGTCTCGGGTCTGGTCCCGGGTCTCTGGTCTCGGGTCTCGTGTCTGGTCTCTGGTCCCTGGTCTCGTCTCTGGTCCCTGGTCTCTGGTCTCGGGTCTGGTCCCGGGTCTCTGGTCTCGGGTCTCGGGTCTCGTCTCTGGTCCCTGGTCCCGGGTCTTGTCTCTGGTCTCGGCTCTGGTCCCTGGTCCCTGGTCCCTGGTCTCTGGTCTCTGGTCTGGTCCCGGGTCTCTGGTCTCGGGTCTCGGGTCTCGTCTCTGGTCCCTGGTCCCTGGTCTCGGGTCTGGTCCCGGGTCTCGGGGATCCCCACCAGCTGACACCTCTGGCGTTGATCAGCGCTTCAGTTTTATTATAAAAATCCTGTTAGCTGATGAAACCTGAACCAGATGTTGGAGCAGCTGATCTGATCCAGATGTAAGCACTTTAAGCCGTTGCAGGATCTCTCTGCTGATTGGATTAAAGCTCAGTCAGACACTGACCTGACCTCTGACCCCGAAGCGTTGGCACAGGTGAACTCACTTCACTCGTTTGTTCAGTGGATCAGTGAAACTTTATTAGTAGAACTTTGATTGACATGAACACAGCTTCACAGAAACTGAAGAATGAATCAATAAGTAAAAAGCTTCACGATTCAAACTCTAATTCTGCATTTCTATTTACAAAGATTAAGAAAGACAAACATCAGATATCACTGATGACAATCTAAGAGAAATAAAGAGTAAAATACAATGAAGAAGAAAAATCAAATCCAACCAACGAGGGAGAAAAGAGATTTGAACGAGACGAAGCCGAACAATTCATCAAAAATATTATTGAAATCTCAACGTGACCACGTGAAATATTCCAGTCACATGACTCGTATCACAATACATATCGTTCAGCCCAAAAACACTGAGTAAACCTGGAACTGTTAGCTGACTGAAGAATTGATCAACAGAAAATGAATAAGCAACTATTAGTAGTTAATATTTGATTCATTCATTTCCATCCAAACTATTTTTGATGTGATTTGAGGTGTAACTTTGGGCTTTTGGAAACTAATATAACTAAGAAAATATATATATTTTCCTCCATTATTCCAATATTTTCTGACATTTATAGACTAAAAATGTAACTAAAAACAATCATCATGAAAACAGTTTGTTTCAAGAAAAAACTGAAGCCGAATAAAACAAAATGGATAAAAGACAAAAAGAATCAAATACTCATCATAAAACGTTTGAAGATGAAGTCTGATGATCTCTTTTATTTTTAACAATTTATTTATTGAATTTTCCAAAAGACAGAGCAGAGCAGGGTACAAGGGAAAACACATGGTCAAACATCAAAGATATTGGAAAAATAAAATCAATAAAACAAAGAACTGAAAAGAAAAAAAAGGGGGAATATTGAGTTAATACAAATCCCAGATACAAGTACAAAGATTCAACTACACGTTCCTTCATCACCATCAACACACACACACACACACCAGCCTGCTGCTGGAATCACTAACCAAACCAAATGTGTGTTGATCCACCACAACAAATGCACTATTTCCTCCTGTGTGAGTGACTGAGATAAAAACCAGCGTCCAGATGTTTCAGATTAGTGAAAATTGAAGATGAGATGTTTTCTCAGATTTACTGGACGTCTTTAGGAGAAGCCAGATGATCTGAGAGGCACAGAGAGGGCAGAGAGACCAGACCACTGAGACACCTCACAGGTATCTGAACCTGCCGTGGAACAGAGCAGCTGACCAGTGGGGGTCAGTCTTTACAGGTGAGACGTTAGTGTCGGTGGTCAGTGGGTAAACACCTCCACACTCATCAGTGTGTGACAGCACATCTGTTTCACTGCTGATTCACCACCTTGTCCAGCAGATGGCAGTGTGTGCTCTCTAATCTCACTGTCCTCCTCACTGATCTACCAGCTCATGTATTTGCTGAGGACACAGGTGAACTTTGCTCAGATTTAGTCAGGTGCTGTTTTATTCATCAGTATCCTTTTATCCTCTCCATCAGTCCACATGAACCTGTGTTAAAATGTCATCACTTCATTTTATCTTTATAGACATTTCTGTCTATGAATTCATGTTATATCCAAATACGTGTTTTGTGAGGTCACAGGGTTCGAATTATGGGGCAGGGTTTAAGACTTGGACCCCCCCAATAGAGATAAAATCAACAGTTGGGGGAATGAAACATTGATATAATCTTCTTCCCTGTAATTGTAAATATTACAATATATTTCTCATATTCATTTCTGGAAGAATCTTGTAACACCCCTAAAGTGGACTGTACCATTTCTAACATCTGGTCTGCCTCACTCCATCAGTGGCTCCGCCCTCAAGTCTCTGCTCCTGTGTGTCACACAGACACTGTAGCTAAATGTAAGTAGCACTAGCTAACTAGCTAGCTTGTTTATTACACTTTATTTTCTTACTGTCACAGTTTCTCAATTAGCTTGTGTCAAGTATCTACAGATGAACTTTAATGTTAGCTAGTTAATAACTTTAGCCTTAAGCTACAGTTTAGCTAACTAATGTTAGCTAGTTTCTAACTTTAGCCTTAAGTTAGTTTAGCTAACTAATGTTAATTAGTTTATAACTTTAGCCTTAAGCTATAGTTTAGCTAACTAACGTTAGCTAGTTTCTAGCTTTAGCTTTAAGTTACAGTTTAGCTAGCTAATGTTAGCTAGCTGATAGCGTGCCCTTTCATCTCCAGTGTTAGCTTGTCGTTTCATGACCAATATAAAATGTCACATATGATCTAATGTTACAAACACTGGAGAGACAATGGAGGATTAGTTGTTGATGCGCTTTAACACCAATATAGAGTTTATTACTTCATGTGGTGGTTTAGTCTTTGACCTTTAACCTTAGTTTTTATAAGAGACACCCTCTTTGTTTTCACTCACTGTTTTACCTGTTGGCTCTTTAAACTATATTAAACTACATGTGTGTCCAACACCTCAGTTCACTGAAGCACCTGCTCTGTACTGTCACCCTGGAGGAATATTGACCCCCTGATTGTATAATTCAAACTCTGGTCACAGTGACCTTGACCTTTGACCCTTGACCACTAAAGTCTAATCAGTTCATCCTTGAGTCCAAATGAAGGTTTGTGCCAAATTTGAAGAAGCTCCCTCAAGGTGTTACTGACATATCAGGTTCATGAGAACTGGTTCGTCCTGACTGTCGGCAGTGCAGAGGTCAGAGTGGTCAGGTGGAGTCATTACACTGTTTTATCTTATTACAGTGAAGAAACATAAATCATATATATATATATGTGTGTGTGAGTTTCCCTGTGTAGTTCCTGTGAATCGTGTCTCTGTGTATCTGTGGATTATCCAGAGTAACCAGGACAGTTCTTCTATAAAAAACATGTGTTTGTTGTGTTTCACATATTTCTTTAATGCGTTCAAGCTAAACTCCAGAGATCTGCGTCGTTACAGTGTAAATCTAAGTGACAGATGTCGTAGAAACTGACCTTTAATGATTCTAATTATCTCTTCTTCTCTGTTCTCACTGCAAACGCTCAGGAAAATCTGCCCAAGGTGAA